CTTTTGAAATAAAAGAAATAGAATGAAAGGATAAATTAACATTATAACCTAGACTATTCTTCAGGCGTGATTATGGTTATATTTCTGTTGGGCAGGTAATCGGCTGGCATATTGGATTGTGAAAATACACTGGTGTCCAAAAAATAAGAAACTTTTGTTTTTAATGATATGTTTTAAAATATACAACGCTAAAAGCTAAAAAGTAATTTAATTAGGTATTTTAAGTCGTAGAATTTATTTATCGCAACCATTCGATTCGGTAAATTGAAAATATGCAAATTTTTGCTTGTCTTTATAAGTGTGCTATTTGACGTGTCGTTTACCCCATCTAAGAATTGTACAATCATAATTTTATTCAATCCTTAGTTAATTATGAGTTTACGAAAATTTTAGCAGATGATTTAAAATGGAGAGCTGTTGGAAGAATGGAGGCAGGGCAATCACAAGTTGAAGTAGCAAAATGGCTAAATGTGAATAAATCTGTGGTCAGCAAAATATGGAAACAGTTCATTGAGACAGGAACCATCAAAAGAAAAGAAGGTTCTGGTAGAAAAAGAAAAACAGCTACCTCTGAAGACCGTTATCTGGTCGTAACTGCCAAGCGCCATAGGGAGATGACAGCTATTCAACTCTCTAATGGAATCTCAAGTGCTACTGGAACGAGAATTTCAAGACAAACTGTTTACCGAAGGCTTCACGAAGGTGCTCTTTATGCAAGACGACCAATGGTCTGTATCCCTTTAACCTCTGCTCACAGGAGAGCCCGCTTGAATTGGTGCTTGGAACATCACGCCTGGACTTATGATCAGTGGGCCAATGTTCTCTTCAGTGACGAATCAAGATTTAGTTTAAACACAGATTCTCGACGAGTTTTCATCTGGAGGGAGCCTGGAACCCGCTATCATCCCAGTAACATCAGGGAAATAGACAGGTTTAGAGGGGGCAGTCTCTTAGTCTGGGCTGGCATCAGTTCTAGCAGACGCACACCCCTCCACATTTTTTTTGGGGGCACTTTAACTGCCCAAAGGTACAGAGACGAGATCCTTGAGCCCTATCTAAGACCTCATAGAGATCAAATTGGTCACAATTTAATTTTTATGGACGATAATGCTCGTCCGCATAGGGCTAGGCTAGTCAATGAATATCTCCAGAGTGAGAATATTCGATGGATGGATTGGCCAGCCAGATCTCCGGACCTGAATCCAATAGAGCATGTGTGGGATGCTCTAGGGAGGCGTATTGGAGCTCGTCACCCCTCTCCTAGAACCTTCGTTGAGCTAAGAACTGCTCTATTGGAGGAGTGGGGTTTACTACCCCTGGACCTCCTCCAAAGCCTGGTAAACAGTATGAGGGCTCGCTGTGAGACCTTGATAGCTGTTAGAGGTGATCATACTCCCTATTGATATCTTATTTCTTTAAGATCTGGAACCTTAGCTTTGGGTATGTTGGTAATAATTTGCATATTTCATAATATCAAATATTTTTTTTATTTTCATATAGTTATTCAAATTATCCATAGTTTAAACTATTTGTATACTAAATTTTATATTTGTTAATATATTAGCTTTTGAGAAATTTCAATATTGGTTAAGTTTCTTATTTTTTGGACACCAGTGTATAAGAATACAATAATCATGTTGTATATTATTATAAACAAGAAATAGTCACACTATTTGAAAGTAAGGAGGCATCATGAGTTTTCAATATATTCTATAAAACGTTTATATATATAGTAATTAAATAATAAAAAGGTATATATTGGATTGAATAAAAGATTTATTTTCCAATATATCGGTTGGCCGAACGCCAACTTTTGTCAAGTAATTACATTTTTTGTATATACAAACTCAGCGCCGCATATAATGTTGTAAAATATTTTAAAAATTAATATAATTAAAATTTAATATTTTAATTGTGGTAATATAATACTAAGCGGTGCTGAGTTTGAACAAAAATGTAATATCATGACAAAGGTTGGCGTTCAGCCAACCGAAATATTGGTAAATAAATATTTTATTCAATCCAACATATACCTTTTTATCATCTAAAGATTTAAATATATATTTCTCTATTTTCAGAAAAATATAGTCGTATTTTGAAGAACACTGACGACTTCGAAAAGCCCCAACATTCCATCATTGGGGAGATCAGAATCATCATCAGTATCATGATCTTGGTCGAATACATTAAGGAGGAATTGTGTCACTTGAGGAGGGACTTCTTGAAGATTATCATCTAGCATCTCTGTAGCATTGACTTTGTCCTCAACCGCCATGATATCATATTTCTCAGAGCCTCTGACATTGTAAACAATCTCAGTAAAATTTTCCAGCATATTGGACAGGAGTTTGTCTGCTCAGACCATGTCTTGAGACAGTCCAGGTGGAATTGGTGCATGCAGTTTCTGGGATGGCAGAGGTTATCCTGGCTGATGGTGTCCAGGCAGATGGAGCAATCTTCTGCTTCAAGCATCAGGTTTTAAAATATCAAGTTAAATATTTATTTTAAAATTCGATATTTTTCAATTGAATTTATTTCTAATTTTTAACAGTTAAACAAAAGTCAGAACATAAACATGTTGGAGTAAAATGATGAATATGAAACGAATACGAAATAATGAAATTTATTATATTCGAATATTTAAAGATTAATCTGTTTCTTTATATTTATATACCAATATAATTTTTATTTAATAATTTATATCTACTTCAAAATCAATACTGGAGAACGTTGCGAAAAATGTTAAAATTAAATTGACAATTAAAGTCTATTTATAAAGAAGAAACTCATACAGCCTGAAAAAAAAAAACGGGAAAAGATAAACAACAGATTATAATAACACAATCATTCTTTAACAACAGAACAGTGAATTTCAAATATTCTTCCTCTATAAATATTACAAAAAAACTAACTAAAGGATGTCCACAACCACTATCTCCCACATTATGGAACATACTGATTGAAGAATTGTTAAACATTAATCAGGATGAATAAAGTATTGACTATAATATGCTGGATCAAAAGCCATGGCGAACTAAAGACAGCAATTAACAATTTTACGATGTACTAGAGCGCCATCTGTTATCAAATTATAAAACTATTTTAGAGGCGTAATATTCTTTTTAAAATAAAACAAATTCTACTGTCCTTACTGCGATGGAAAAATTAAAGGGAGGGCCTGGCTCATCAGTGGTGAACCCTCCCAGCGGTTTCGCCAGTTTAATCTACCATACCGCTGTTATATTGCATTTTTGGAACTTCCTTTTATAGGTGACTGTTGTAAAACTCTTGGAATGGGTATTTTAGAAGAACTATGGACATAAGCTTTTAGGACAGCAGAATTAAATATAATTATAAATATATAATATGCTTCGAGCAATCGCTCTTCCGCAAATAAAATAGTTTTATAATTTGATAACAGATGGCGCTCTAGTACATCGTAACATTATTGTTCTAATAAAAGACACAATTTGATATTTGCGGAAGAGCGATTGCTCGAAGCATATTATATATTTATAATTATATTTAATTCTGCTGTCCTAAAAGCTTATGTCCATAGTTCTTCTAAAATACCCATTCCAAGAGTATTACAACAGTCACCTATAAAAGGAAGTTCCAAAAATGCAATATAACAGCGGTATGGTAGATTAAACTGGCGAAACCGCTGGGAGGGTTCACCACTAATGAGCCAGGCCCTCCCTTTAATTTTTCCATCGCAGTAAGGACAGTAGAATTTGTTTTATTTTAAAAAGAATATTACGCCTCTAAAATAGTTTTATAATTAACAATTTACTTAGTAAAATTAATACCTGATGTGAAAGCAGTAAATTACAGATACCAAAGGATAAAACGAAAATATTATATTTATATAATTGCATAAATGATACAAAAATCCTTAATAGCAATATAGCTAGACATGTTGAAACCCTTAAGATCTTGGGATTGACCTTGAAAAATCATCGAAGCAGGAACAAGCTGGACTTCATGCCACACATTAATGATATCGTCGACAAAAGTACTAGAGCTAGCGGTTACCTACTCAGTTTAATAAAGAAAGCATGGGGTCTAGAATGCAGACGAAAATTAACTTTATACAAGACAATATTCCGAAGCACAATAACATATGGTCAAATAATATGGTTTCCATCTATAAGCAAGAAATCCAAAGACAAACTAAATTCCCTGCAGTATAATATTCTAAAACACTGCATACAGGCCTATACCACAACATCGTCAAACTGTACACATATACTAACACAAATACCAAAACTCACAGATTACATAGAATCCAACATATTGACAAATGAAATAGGCTACAATAGCTTTAATTTATCAAACAGAAAATAAATTGCTAACTATAATGAAAGAAAATTACAGGAATACTATGAAGAATCCAACAATAATTTCAAACGTTTTTTTCATCTCCTCTAAAATAACTAACTTTGTCAAACCAAATTTCTACAATGTTCAGTTCTTTACGGGTCATGGTAAGTTCAAATCATATCTCTTCAGAATTTGAAAAATAGTTTTATCCAGATGCTCTTGTGGAGCGGAAGAAGAAACGCCTGAACACATTCTGAACTCATGCCTACTGGTGTCAAACCTAAGACAGCAGAGCAAGATGGAAAGAACCTATCTGGGTCAAATAGTTTATAATAGGGAAAGATATATAAAATTTAATAGGTTCTGCAGACTTTACATTATAAATAGACAGCCTCATGCAGCTTGAGGAAATACACTACTATGCGACTTGGTTTACATAATTGTGAATAGTTGATAAGATACCTTTTAGAACATAACTAATTGTAAATAGCTCAGCCTGATCATCTTTCTCTCTCCACGATACTAATTATTACGAAAATTGCAATTAAACCGCGAATGTTTCTTCCAAACAAAAATCGAAACCCATTTTAAAGAGAAACAGCGACCATTTACAACTCCAAGGATGAAGTATGATAGGATGAACCGCGAAGAGTAATGATAAACGGAAAAATAAAAGTGTCCAGGGATGGGAATCGAACCCACAGTGTTCCGCTTACCGGGCAGATGTCATGTAACTAGGCTACCCTGGACATATTTTACCGTTCTCAAATATTATATAAAGTAATTAAAAATACAATATAACGCGGGCACTTTTATTTTTCCGTTTGTCATTACTCTTCGCGGTTCATCCTATCATACTTCATCCTTGGAGTTGGAAATGGTCGCTGTTTCTCTTTAAAATGGGTTTCGATTTTTGTTTGGAAGAAACATTCGCGGTATAATTGCAATTTTGGTTTTACAATCATCAGCCGCGTTATATTGTATTTTTAACTAATTATTACAGATAACTACATTTAATCAACTTCCATCATTGCTTAACATATTGTGAATAACTACCTTGAGATTTCTTCTATCTGCTTATGTTGTTGCTTATTTTTTAATGTTTATGTTTATTTAATACTCTTTTTCTTAATTGTTTATTTTCTTTTTGATAATTCTGTTACCTACTCTACTACAATATGAATTATTCGGATCGGATATAGCGTGTCTTATTTGCAACTGGGAATAAATAAATTATATTTCTATTATATATATCAATGCACTATTAATATATATATATATTATTTTGGATAAAAGGTATCTCCTGAAAAAATAAACTTTTATCCGGCAGAGTTTCCTCACCACTCTGGAAGTACCTGCCTCGGCGCGTTACCCTTTTTGGCGGTTCACCCCCCAGGAGCCCTAAATGGTCCTGAGAAGTCCTATTCCACTTCTAGCTTTTACTAACCCCACCATCGGATCTGACCTGATGGCGCCAGCAAAGCTAGGGCCCTAGAACTGACCAATTGTTGAAGACTCGTGTCCCAGGAAACTGAATAATTTTACAAACCAAAATAAATTTGATATAAATTTTAAATATGTTATAAGCTATAAAAATAAGAAAATCATGTTCACAATTTCATATGATGTTGGGATATGATTGATTTATAATTCCGGAAATTGAAACATTTTTTTACAAAGTTAATGGTTCATTTATGATAGAGATGATATCCGACAAGATTCTCAAGGAAAATTATTAAGATTATAAGATTGATTGTATTTGATGACTGTGTGGTGATATTCCTAAATGTAGTTCTTGAAATTCTGGGAGCTGTGTGGATAGCATCTAGCAACTGTTTCTTAAAATTATTTTCTATACGGAGACATATTCTTGATAATATCAGTGTAATATTAATAACACATTCAAAGTGATTGTCGTAAAGATAGAGGCTGCCGCCTGGCCTTTACAATTATAAATTGGCGCCGTGGATGTCACTCTTGTGAAACGTCCCGCTCCAAACTTTGTGTCAGAGAAGCGATATTTTTATAAAGAGATGATCTGGCTTTGTGTCTTCTGCTCGAATGAATGTTTTTCTGTTAGAATTTTGTTCCTGCACACTAAAAATGAACTGGGTTCACCCGTGGTCTCAGCTTTTTGGAATTTTTCCCGATAAAATTTTGTACCTGATAATCAAACATGATACAGCAATATTGTCATCATCATTTTCTGACTAAAAAAAAACAACTATTTCTGCCCAGAACATGTCAATTTTATTTTTTATTGGCTAAAAATCCGATAAATATCTTTTCCAGATTTTTCTCTATGTCCTGTCAAAACACGTTTTACATGTGCATTAGGTCAGCTGATATTACCTCCCATCTTCACCGCTAGAGGCGCTGCTTGCGAGCGAAAAGGCAAATTTTCAACGTAATTTGCAAATAACTCGAAGAATATTCGGGATAGAGACCTGAAATTTCCACTATAGGTTTTTCCAGATTCTACTCTATAGACTGTTAAATTTCAGTCAGATTAGTTACGTATTGTGGACGTGTATAGCCGACATAGATGCCCACATACATACATACATACATATATACATACATATACATACATAAATACACTGACCTTTATATATATATAGGAATAATCTATACATATAAAACCTTATTATGAATATTGTACAATGAATATATACAATTCCTATAACGATGGTTTGTATATTATACTTTATAGATAGATAATTCAGGTGGTATGATTCTTGAGAGTGTTATATATTTTCACATATGTTGTAAAATGGAAGACAAACTATCTGAAAAGCCAAGATTCCAAAGTAAAGTTGGGGGAAGATGGGTGTACTCCAGATGCGGGGGATGGCCATGTGTCAGGGGAACAGGTGCCAAAAAAATGACATTCGTGTGGGTGGTAGGTCAGAGTCTGGTCACATCTGCGGAGAGTGGAAGACGCGGAGAGTTGCTTCCAGGAGTGTGGATGATCCTGCAAGACAGTACCAGGACCACGGCATCGGAACGGCCTATAAGGTGGTGTAGCACAGGCTGGACGTGGACAGAATGGAGCGGAACGTTGACAAGGAAGATCTTTCTGATAGCGGACATTTGAGACAAGTCCATCTGAATGTACCTAGTTCTCAATCCTATTAACAGCTCCTGGCAATAAAATATAACGAACTAATCTGTATCCACAATGCACCTACATTAAACCTTGTACGTAAACAACGACCACTGAAAAGCGTCATAACAATATTGAAGACAAAGCTATGGAAAGGTTTAGAATAATTATATACGAATTTATATAGTTTGCTAATAGTGAATTTAATATAGGTGAAATATGTCAGAAAATATTTATGATTGTATAACTTCGATATTTGTAGCTGTTTTAAAAGTTGCTAACCAAATACAAAATAAATATATGTTTGAAAGGTAGAATTGACCACTTTTCGGTGTCAATGGTCTCCGAAATTTCAGTAAATCAGTGTAAATAGACAGGGCTCTGACAACTTTTAACTAGAAGTTTTCAAACAGCATATTTCACTTGTGCACAAGTTGCGCAACTTCTGTTGATAATCTTATGTACCACGTGCACTCGGGGAAAAAGCACAATAGAATGTCTCAGAAGTGGGCATTTTTGGTATATTTACAAGATAAAAATGAACCACAATCAAATAATTATGGGTTTAAACAGCCTTTTTATATAATTTTAAGTAAAAGGTCTTGATATGCGAAGCATATATAGAGAAAAGATAATTATATGCTATCTTTACTAATCCCATGCGTACTTGGGATAATTGAGAAAAACATTAAGAGCAAACCCATCTAAGAAAGCGCAAATTTTAGATTTAAAAGAGCTAGATATAATGTACTGTGGATTTTAGGTATTCGAATTGGAATAAATTGCTGTCGCAGCAATCAACCTCTTTTGAACAATGGCCCCTTACTGCGTCCACTGAGATTCAACAGATAATTATTTATATAAAGTAATAAGGCCACATCTATATATAAGAAATGAAAATATTTAAAAACTTGAATGTTTCTTTTATACACAAAACAAACTTCTACTGTCCTTACTGCAATGACAAAATATTGGGAGGGCTTGACTCATCAATGGTGGATCTCTTCCAGCAGTTTCGCCAATTTAATCTACTAGACCGTTTCTTAGAGCTCTAATACTGTATTGGACTATTCTGATTTTATACGCTGCACTGAAGGGTGGAATCTTAGAAATGGTATTTAAATAAACTTAATTTAACAAAATCAGCAAGCAGCCCAGGCAGGAATGAATATGTATTATATTGGTAAACTATGGACATAAGATTTTAGGAGAGTATAATTGCATATAAATATTTGCACCGAGCGAGGCTCTTCCTCAAACAATAAGGACAAGTTAGGCATAAATTAATATAAAGCAATAACACACCTGTTTGCGGAAGCGCATTACTCGATGCAAATATTTATAGGTAATTCTACTGTCCTAAAAGCTTATGTCCATAGCTTACCCGAATACCATTTATGAGATTTCACCATTCAGTGTAGAATATATAAGCAGAATAATCCAATACAGTATTAGAGCTCTAAGAAGTGGTCTGGTAGGGTTTCACCATTGAGGAGCCAAGCCCTCTCAATATTTTTCATCGCAGTAAGGACAGTATAGAGGCTTAATTTATGCGAAAAATAAACATTAGTGCTTTTAAATACTTTTATTTCTTAGATACATATTTAGTTAAAAGACATAAAAGGGGCATCTATGCATGAGATATAAAACCATTAAGTATTTCTCTCACAAATAATTCAAACATCTCTACTGTCCTTACTGCGATAAAAAATAATGAGAGGGCTTGGTTCATCAGTGGTGAATTGTTTTCTGAAGAGCAGTGCTCGATGCAAATATATATGTGATATCCTACTGCCCTAAAAAACCATGTCCATAGTGTGTTAAAATAACATACCTAAGATTCCGTCTTACTGTCTCATATATGGGCAGAATTGAACAATACATTCTAGAAGCAGATGGCCTCCCAAATCTTTAGGTCCATAAGCTGGCATGCTAAGCATTCCCTTATCTGCTATCCTGCTCAAAAGCCAAGCAACGGGATCCACCCTGGGGTTCGGATTTGGTACTGGAAAAACCAACTCGCCGATTAAAGCACCTAGAAGGATTTATATACCGGTGGCCTTCAGTCACAGCACAATAGAGAAACTATCTACTGTGTCCAGCAGGGAGCGCGGACACTGGTCGACCCTGTTCACCCACAGCTGTGGTAAAGTTCAGCTGCCACGTCGTGGGCTTTCTCAAGAAGCTTGCTGTGAAATCTCAGCAGCTCAGTTTCGATAGCGTTCCCCGCTCTTCTTCTCTCATTTTTCACACCCACCACTCTTGAACAATCCAAGGCGTGCTTGGACAAAGGCGTGCTCCCAGATCCCTTTCTCCACAGATGCAATCAGGATTGCTTTTAATTTTTAAATCTGTGGTGACTCCTGGGGAAGAATCCATGTCCCGATACCACAAAGTTTGAGGGACATACCCTTTACATAGTACTTGGGCATGTTCACCCAATTGTATACCTCCTCCTTTTCCGCTGTTCCTAAATCTGTCTTACCACAGGTCCTGGACGTGCCCCCTGACTCTCCTATACACCTCTTTTTTGGTTATTGGGAAATCCACTGATATTCCTTTCTGGCATCCATCCTTCGCAAGCCTATCTGCCAACTAATTTCCTTCAATTATGCTAGTTTATTCGGGGCGCTCTTTCATTCC